TTTACCGTATGAGTAATAACAAACATTTATACTTTAAGCTGCTTCAAGCCACAGGCAAACCGTTATTACAAATCATTATTGAAAAGAAAATGTTATCAAAAGTGCTATTTACGGTATTAGAGTTCTGAAAACATAATTACTTAAATTCGCATAATATCAATAACTTCATAGGGACACCTCGAAAATCCAGAGATTTTAAGCCGGAAGTTTGAGAACTTAAATATTTGTCTGTTACCTCTTATTTGAAATCCTATAAAAACGAACATGGTGACCGTCGTAAAAAAGTGTTTTAGTTCTTTTTGGTTTATAAGGTGTTTTCTTAACGTTTTGATAATAAAGTTCAGATATAACGCGCACTCTGATTGGTTGAAAAAGCATGGTTTATGGGAGTATAAAACAAGGAGTTAAAACTGTCACACCATCTGTGAATCACACCATGCGGTGGTTTTCAAGATCAAAGTTTCGCATTTCAGGGTTAAAAATAAACTATTAAAAGACACAAATGGAAAGGGAAAGTTCAAATGAATGCTTCGTTTTCTTTTAGTGAAATGAGGAAAGATTTTGGTAACGAAATCGTCCTTCGAGGATTTCAACGATGTTTTCTTCACGGCGGAGCGCAACATGTCTTGTTTTGAAATTCAGCCAAGGCAGCGAAGTTTTTGAAGACGTTTCAAAGACAGTTTTTGCTCTATGGTCAGGAAAAATACGTTTTCGTGCATACATAAATGTTTCAAAAATGTTTTATAAATTTTTGTCCTTGGCGCTAAAGAATAATTACAAAATGCACCTCGATTTGAGATGGGTTTTGTGCTCAATTTTTCGATGCGCTAATCCGATTTACTTGCTTTTAGGGATTAACCTCTTAGTTTTTGAATATACATTCAAGACATAACTTCTCTGTCTTATTGTCTTGAGTTTGTTCATTCATACAATTAGCTCTAAAGACGACCGCGAGACTACAGCATCATTTTTGCGAAAACATCGGTGAATCTTATCTTACTTTCAGGTTCAGTTTTTGGGCTTTTTTCGATCGGAATTAAGCTGAAGCAGTTGTTTTCAAATTGTCATGTTAATGACGTCCAGGTTTTTATGGGTCGTCAATTCGGTAGGATTTAAAAGCCCTTTTACATTTGGAAACTGATTTTTGGACCTAAACAGTACATTTCTTCTGCATTCAAATTCAAAGAAAGTTTAGCTGGTTTCACTTTGTGATAACTTTGATGCATTGACAGCTTTGACAGCTTTTGGCTTATTCAACCAATCAAATCATCTGGCCCATTCTAAAATGGATTGTGATTTGGCTAATTTAAGCGTCTTTTATGAGGGTGTAGCTAGAACACGATGACTTCACTTTCGTTCGCTTTGGAATAAACTTTGTTTTGGAAATTAAAAATAAATGCGTGGGGAATTTAACGGATTCTTTATCCCATAAAACAAATAAAGAAGACGTCTTGACTGTCGTCTGTTCTGTTTTAGAGCACTTAGGAAGTGGCTAAAGCACTCATGAAGTAAGGAGAAACACTCGACAACATCTACTGTTTCGCCCTTCACTTCGTTGGTGCTCTAGCCTCTTGCTGCGTGCTTTACAACAGAACAGAGAATAGTAAAGGCTTCTTTATTTGTTAAGTAAAAAGCCATGGTTGGTGTTCAATCAGTAGAACTTACCTTAACAGGTCCATAATAAGAAGATCCTTTCATCTTTTTGAAGCTTTCCGGCGTCATCTTCCGTGTTTTGTTGTTCAGCTCACAAAGTCGTTTTGCAATATCTGCACCAGGACGAACATTAAATGACTTGCAGCTGTTATTTCTGAGGCATTTTTGGTGACATTCAAACTCATCAGCAACAGTAGACGCATT